TGCTAGATCTGTTCAGTATTTTTGAGTGCTTTGTGTAATTTAGAATGTCTATTAAACTTGCAAATGATGAGTTTGAAATTTGTAGGCTTGACAGTGGGGTTAGAATGAAAGGATCCTGACAGATTACAAATACAGTATTAAAAATATAACGTACCATTCAAGAAATTATATTCAAGGTAGTATATGAAAATAGGATCGAATCCAAATTAAGAATTGTTCGTTATGGAAAGGTTCCTTAGGTAATGATTCAGTTTGTGTGTTACAAAGCAAATGCAAGTGAACAGCATCATGCTTAAAAACAAACAAGCAAAAAGCCCCTATACTAAGTTGGTTTATATAAACAGGATGTAGCCTGAAAGACATATGAATTTCCCATTTTCACTGTACTTGATTTTGTAAAGCTTCAGCTGAAGCAGTATGCTCAATTCTGGGGACTGTACTTAAAGAAAATATATCCTATTTTAAAGGTATCTCATAAAGAAGTGGGAGTATTTATATTTGCTAGACTGTCACCAAAGACTGAAGGAATGAAGATTGGTTTAGTCAAGTCTGGCGGGGGAAAGTTCTTATGTACCTTTTGACTGCTAGAAACATGAAAGGAATTGGTTTTCTATATCCACAACAACTAGGACAAATGGATTTAATGGATCTAATCCGAAACAGTGAAGTTTAGACTTGAACTCCTGTATTTCAAATATAGTGAAGTGCATGAAGGGATTGCCATTGCCAAGGAGACTGTAGAGTTGTGTGAAAACAAAACATACAGACAAGCCTATAACTGATTTGCTATGGAATAGGGTGGTGTGCTAAATGATGGTTGTGCTTTATATCCTGCTGGCAACAAAACACCCCACAGCTTCTTGCTCGTTCATAGCCACCCCCACACCACACCACCCCCCCGGGGGGATGGGGAAGAGAAAATGTAACAAGGGCTCGAGACAAGGACAGGGAGGGCTCACTCACCAGTTATGGTCGCAGGTGAAAACCAGACTCAGCTTAGGGAAACATCAATTTAATTTAAACACCACCCCCCCCCATCCCACCCCCCATTTACCAATCAAACCAGAGTAGGATAATAAGAATCTTAGAAACCTTAGAGATCTTAGAAAACAGCTTTCCACCACCCCTTCCTTCCTTCCCAGGGTCAGCTCTGCTCCTGATTTCTATACCTCTTCCCCACCCCAGCAGTGCAGGGGGACAGGGAATGGGGGTTACAGTCTGTTCGTCACAAGGTGTCTCTGCATCTCCTTCCTCCTCAGGTGGAGGACTCCTCACAGTCTTCCCCTGCTAGTGTGGACTTCCTCTTATGGGAGACAGTCCTCCACAAACTTCTGCAATGTGAGTCCTTCCCATGGGGTTCCCTAGTAGGAGCAGTCTTCTTTGAACACAGTCACCTGCTCCAGTGTGGAGTCCTCCTCAGATGCAGGGGGACATCTGCTCCACTGCTGATCTCCATGGGCTGCAGGGGCTCAGCCTGTCATCCTATCCTGGGTTGCAGGGGAACCTCTGGTCCAGCACACCTGGGTGTCTGCATGGCTGTTTCTCTCACATCTCGCTCTGCTCCTCCACTCCAAACAAAACACTTGCCCAACACTTTTTTCCCCTCTGCGTTATCGCAGAGGTGCTGACTGGCTTGGCCTTGGCCAGAGGTGGGTCCAGCTTACAGCCAGGGGAACTTCTGGAAGCTTCTTACAGCAGCCACCTCTGTAGCTCCTCTCCCACTACCAAAACCCTGCCAGACACAAACCCAACACAATAGCCTTTTGAAGTTCTTTCCAACCCTCTGGTAAAAATTAGTCCATTATCAATTTTTCTTATGATTTCTTTTTCACTTTTACGTATTGAAAAATCGACAGAAATTTACTTTTGTTACAGAACTTAGAGCAAGTGTCTGTATGTATGTTTGGTGAATTGACAGAAATTTGAATGTGGGGGAAAAAACTTGTTCTGGAATATAGATCTGCATCCAGTAATGCATGCATGTCTTATATGTTGATTTTTATGTAGTTGCTAGAATCGTTTAAATCTTTAATTAAAGGTGTATGTGGTGCAATTCCTGGAAATAATTATGCTTGAGTAACTCCATATGTCTAGTGGACAGTTTCCACGAAATTTGATCAAGTATGTGCTCATTGACAGGATTTGATCTGAAAATGGAACAGGGAAAAGATATTTGATCTTGGAGAACACAAAAGATAAACATCTTTGATAGTACATATGTACATTTTCTTAATAAATATATTTTTGTATATGGAAGTTTTTGCATGTCAGATATCTGAGGATTTTCTAGCTTTTCCTATCCTTCTTATCATTTAAGTTATCCAGTAGAATGACTACTTCCACCATAATTTCAATTCTTTTCAGTCAGCCTGTAGACTGAGGTAGCTAATTGATGTTCCATGAGGCAAGAGAGCTCTGTAATATCAGGGAAAGATACTTTGGTCTTTGTCACATGTGAAACACATGTCTCTCTCATTCCTTGTTCTGTGAAGTTGTACTGTATTTGAGTGTGCAACACTATTGTTTTTTCAAGCCTTGCATAACCTATAAGCAAGGATTTTAAACTCAGGGGTTCCTGCTTCAAATGTGTGATAAGAGTGGTATTTGATTTTTGGAGTCAGCCAGTTGTAAGAGGTTCAGCTGCATTAAATGTATCAGTTCCACTCTTCATACCTTCATACCAAAGCCTTGCATGCTTTGTTTTCTGGTTTATATTGGGTAAGTATAGTACAGTTAAAGAGATCCCCAGCAATGTGTCAACTTTTCACCTTCTTCAGACACTGATCTCCTTGGCTAGTATTGCAGAATAGTCTTGCTTTTCTGCTGAGCTGGACCTTAGGTGCCAAGGAATTCCTCCTATCCACTGCTCTGTCTGCTCATGCCTAAAACTTGACGCTTAATACCCGTTTTTGTCAGAACAGTAATTTGAGATGTCTTGGCACCATTGTCTTGTGGTGCATTCTTGACAGCATCAACATGATGCTGCCTCATAACTTTTTGTTATCAAGCTGGTCTCAAACCTTAATTTCTCTCTCTTTCTACCCCACTATCTCTGAAAGAGTTTAACTTAGCATAGCTCAGTCTTAGGACTGCTTCTGCACTTCTCAGACATCCTTTGTCAGAAGAGAGGTTTCTTTTACAGCGCCTTGTTTGTACCATAGAATGCCAGCTTCTCGAGACTTAGTAGAATGTTATGTGTGGGTCAGGATGAGTGTGCAGCGATACTCTTGTGCTGCTTCTGACATACATATCTCTTCATTGGATCACTGAGTGCTGGTGCCATCTATTTTTAATCTTATTTGTCCTCTGACTTTCTGGTCATGTAGAGGTGCCTTCCCTTGTACTTTGGGACCATGTGAACAGCCTTTTTGTCTTGTCAGTGAGAAGTCATTGCTTTTCTCAGAATGACTTGCCAGTGACTGGTTTCCCACTCTTTCAAGAGGTACAAAGGTTCCTAAACAAGTTAGTTTTTAAGAGCTCTATCCATCTGGAACTCATGTGCCAGGACTTAGGTCAAGTTCTTCACCTGATCCATATAGGACTGTGAAAAGTTATTGCAGTACTCTATTCCAAACCACTGCAGTATGATCAGTGTGATTTCTTTTTTTTTTTTTTTTTCTCCTTTCTGTAACAGGAAGTTGTGGACAGATGCAGTCTGAATGAACCAAAATTTCAGTATGGTTAGGTTTTTGCTTTCTTCACTCTTCCAATACTTCAGTTCTTTCTTACTGTAGCTGCTGGAGTGGAAGGACCTGTAGGACTTGGTCTTTTGTGAAACTTGTGAACACTTATCTCTTCTCACAATCTGCTGTTTTCTCATTCTCAGACTCATTTCCACATGCCCTTCATTTCACTGGTTCCTGGATGAGTTACTGCAAATGTAGTCACATATCTGAGTAGTTTCTCAATGGGATTTGAAGCTTGTTCATGGGTCCTCCCTTTCTCCCTTTCAGCCCTTGGATTCTTACAGTCTTCTGTCCATAAGGATGCTTGTTCCTCAGCTTGTTCTGAGCTGTTGTCTCAGAATCTTTTCATGGCTTAAACCCATTATCAAGAATGGGACTACTGTATGCTCTATTCACCTGCCAAGAGGTTTATGCTGGAACTCTTGTCTTAACTAAGAGGTTATGGCTGCTAGTTCACAGTCTGTACTTCATACCCTTTAATGATTAGGAAGGCCCTTTCCTTTTATCTTTGCAGGTCCAGACCTTTTCAGAAATCTCCCTGGTTGTCTTCAGTACTGGGAGAATCTTATAATTTCCATGTAACACCTACCCAAATAAATCTCCATTTGTATGCTGACATAAATCTGAACAGCGATATTAAACTGACACTGGTCAGAAGTCATTCTACAAGAGCTCAGGTAACCTTAGTACTTCTCTGCAGTGTTTCTGTTCAGGACATTTGCCACTTCTGCTCAACACCGCATAACACGATGCCTGAAGCATTCAGTGCTGTTGCAGCCTTCCATAGTCATACTACAGTTGCAGCTCAACAGGTCAATTGGAGTTGCCCGCTTTAGAATACACATGTGGATCCTTTCTTAAATAAAGGAAGGTTACATTACAGTAACAGGTGTTCTGTGAGACACAGTCCACCCTGTACAGCCACATGCCCCCTTCTTTACCTTTCCTTAGGCTTGTCTTTGTAAAATTAATTGAGAAAAAATACTGAAAAGTAGAGGCATTTCTCTCCCCACTTTTTTGGCACACTGTACATCAGGATTGGAAGGTTGATTGGAAGATCTCAACAAGTAATGCAAAGGGAAAATTAGTGGGAGATCATTTGGTATGATATGTTTAGAATATGGCAGTGTATCTTGAACAATGTTATTACTATTAAGTAACGTTTCTTTCTGGTAATACGCAGATTCATGGTGAACAACTGTTCAGGTTTTACAGTGGGAGGTAGAAGTTGATTTGAAATGTTAATAAGTACGGTTTTGAGTGCCATTAAAACAGGTATGGCAATTATGTACATTTCTTATTTATATAGAGGAAATGGCTACGTATCTACGTTATGTAAGGCGGCTAGATTTTTTTGAAAAGCCGGACTACGACTACTTAAGAAAGCTCTTCACAGACTTACTTGATCGGAAAGGCTATACGTTTGATTATGAGTATGACTGGATTGGCAAACAGTTGGTGAGTACAATTACGCTATTAGTAATACACTGGGGTTTTTGTGTGATCAGTTTTGAGCCAGCGATAGTCTTGAGATTCAGAATACATGTGCATCTCATGGCTGCTATTAGAGTTGTGAACAGCTGCTATTACAAACCTGTTTTCAGATGCATTTTCAAACATTATCTTTTGCCTTGAGATCCTTCATATTGAGGCTGTTTTCCAAACACGTACTCCTGACACCAAACCAAATCTCAGTTCAGTAAAAGAAGGTTGTAGGAATTCAGACTGGTTTTTGAGTTGAAGGAGGAGTTTAAAACTTCGCAGGTAATTTTCATTACTGCATGTATTTTCTTGTTTTGGGGACTTTCTTGCTCACAGTATTTTTAAAATGTAAAGCAATAACTGCTCCCCATCTGAGGTACACTCCGGATATTTATCAGTTCATTATGAAGAAACCCTCTATACTTTATATACATTGGTCTAATGATGTAGAATATCAGTTTCTATCACGGTGCATCTAAAGTTACAGAAAATACAGTGTTTATATTCCTTAAAAAAGGGTAAAAATTTATTTTTTCAGCACATCAAATTTTTAATAAGTAGGGAAGGGGTTGTGCATGTAGGTTGGCTAATTTCACATTATACATTTTACCCTGAAGTTCTTTGTGTGACTCTCAGAAAGAATCGTAGTATTTTATTGCTAAATCTTTTTTCAGTGTTTAGCATTAAAAATTACTTTAAGCCTTTCTTTAGGCTTTCATCAGAATGTCCTAACTGCTAAGTGCAGAAAATATCAGGCTAAAGTCTATCAGAAAGTTAATGTCTGATAATACTCAAAATTGCTACCTCATGAAATTGTGTAAGTCTTGGTTTGCCTCTTTTTGTCTTTAGTGTTAGTAAGTATCTAGTGAAGCTTTTGCTTTAATTTGATAGTTTCAGGTTACAGGAAACTGTCAGATTTAAAGATTAATTTCTATTACAAACCAGTAACTTCTGATAAGACTTAGAAATTTATTTTTTTACCAGTTGCTGAGTATTATTTATATTTGTAGCCTATTCCAGTGGGTTCAATACATTCAGACCCTGCGCTGTCCTCAAACAGAGAAGCATATCAGCACAGAGATAAAATGCAACAGTCCAAAACTCAGGTAAACTTCTTGTGTAAGATTATCAGCATTACTTAGTCTTTTCTCTAATGATCTGTGCTGTGTTGTTGCTTTTATTAGAACTCCAAAATAAATTTGACTCAGGTTTTCTTTGGTTTTTCTTTGATTTAAGTAGATACTTGTTAACGTGTTTCTACGTCTCTAGACCTTAAAATATTCTGAAAGGTTGCTTGTTTGATGCTGTGATATAACGTAGGTTACATCAGTAGCTAATTTTCTCTCTGCTGATACTTGTTTAAATTGGTTTTTTAGTTCTCTGTTTTTAATCACTGTCTCTTCCCCATATCCTGTGTCATCTCTTGGGGTTCTAACATGTATGTATAACATTTTCCCTTTTTTCTTAAAACCAGCATAACAACCAAGGTGGTAAAAGCATTAGGAATTTAGATCTTGGTCCATTTACCTATGCTAAGTACAGGGTTATGTTGGTGGACTTTGCTTGGAGTTTTGAGTTTTAGCTACTTTACTTCTACTTAAAAATATATGTGTAGGCATATGTAAGTATGCAGATAATGTGATGTACAATCTAGATAAGAATCGAGTATGTAGTGGTTCTATGCTTTTAAAAAATAAGATATAATAACAACGGATGAATTCTTTATTTGTGGAATTTTTATTTCTTCTTTTGCATGTATTCCTAATGCTTTAAAAAATTATAGTCAACAGACCATAGGGCAGCTTGGGACTCACAGCAAGCCAATCCACATCATTTGAGGGCTCACCTTGCAGCTGACAGACATGGAGGCTCGGTACAGGTATTTTCTGCTTCTTTGCATGACTTAGTCATCTTGCATTATATACTAGTTTCCTGCAGTGCATGAAATGATTCCTGTTTTCATATTAAGCTTAATTTCCAGTAATGTTCAGAATGTTCCCATTATTCACTACTTCACAATTGCCAAACTGAAATTAAAACAGGTGCAGAAAACTATGAATCTTTTTATATATGGAATTTCTGCTACGTTTCTTAGCGAAAGCCTAAAACAATGGAACCAGCCCTTTTGGGGGGTAATATACACTTACATCAGTGCAAGCAACTGAAGTTTAGAGTTTTGATGTTACTAAGTGTTACTTAGATGCATTAACAAGTAACGCTATTGGCTTGAACAACACTGAATTCAATCATGTTTTTTGTTCCTTAAACTTCGAATGAAAGTGTTAAGTAATGATTTTTGCTTAAAGTTTACTACTTTTGTTCAAACAGTAGTTGGCTGGAAGAGTGTTTCCCAGGGCAGTGCTTCACACTTATCAGTGGAAAAATGAGTAGTAATCAACAATTTTTCCTCTATTATTAGTTTATTTCATCTTCAAAGAGCTGCCTTTCCTGCTTGGCTCTTAATTTTATATTTTGGTGACTTGCTCTTTGAATATATTTAAGGGCGAGATGATTGGGATAATACATAAGGAAATCTAAATTTAATAAAGAAGGATTCAAATTGCCATTTGCAAAGTCTATATGAGGTTTTGAGCTTTTAGTCTGAAATGAAAATAATTTAGCTTTGTAAAATGTTATTTGGGAAAAAAATCCTTTTTTGTCTCCTGCATTTTTTGATTCTGGCAGTCTAAGTTACATATAGTTCTTCTGAAGTTTTGTTTTGGAAAAAGTTTGTCAATGCCTGAAGAAAGAACTGGAAGTCCACGGTAAAGAACACAGTGCTGTAGTCTTACCAGTGTGATAAGCCTGTATCTTTTCTAAATGCTTCGAAACTCAATTAAAACTTAACATTCTTTACATTTTGCTGCTTTAGAAAACACTATCATGTAAGAAAACCTAGTAGATGATAATTACCATGTGTATCAAGTAAAGTTTAAAAATTGTTCTATGCTTTCCATTAACAAATATTTAAAAAAACTTCACCTGTATATTTAACTTGAACTGCGATAGTTCTCTTAATAACATCTGTTTAAAGGTAGTCATTTATCTTTTGAGAACAGTATAATAATGAGGAATCAAAATTGGATTTGAAATTGTATCTTCCAAAATTAGTACATTTCTTAATTTTTTTATTTTTAGTTTTTAGGTTAGAAAAATACATATTTAACTTGTTAAATTCCAGTTAATAGAACTTTTGAGTTGTGTATCATATCACTGTCTTGGCAGTCATAGCACTTAAAAAACTCTTTTATTCTTTCTCAGGTGAAATGTAACAACTGCCAAGAGATTTTATTCCATTGTACTATGTGTTAAATACCCTTTGGGGGTGGGGAGAACATTTTCTAGGAAATAGCAGTAGTATTTCTTTCTGTTAATATAATATTCTTCCTATTTTTTTCTCAAAAGATGTGGGCATTCTGAGTTCAGATCACTTAGATCAGTCGAAACTAAACAGTTGCCGTGTAAAAAGAGCAGTGTGCGAAACTGCAGCCGTTTGGTCTGTGTCTGAAGATCAAGTGCTGTACAGAAGGGTATTTTCAATCCAGCTTAGCTGGATTGCTTTTTAATGTGGAATGGTGATGCTTCCTCATTAAAGGCACTTAGAAAACTACATAGTATCTTCAGATTTTTTTTGAAGTTTGAGCCCTTGACTGTTGTCAAATACCACTTTGTTGTAGTGACACTGACTGGATCATGCTATTAAGTTAAGTGATTAGCTAGCTAGTTTAGCTGGATTCTTCATTGCCACCAAGAAGACAAGTTCTAAAAGTGCCACAGATAATTGTTCAAAGGAAAGTTGAGTCTAAGGTGTGGAATTAAAGTGTATTTATTTTTTTCTGTGACATAGTGGGTCATTGCTCATCGCTGAGGTAGGTTTTATGCTGAATTATCTGGTTTTCTCCAAGATATGAAAATCTGGCAGATAATTTTATTTTAAAGTCATAACTTTAAGTCACTGCTATTAGTTATCTGTACTGCTTATGTTGTCTCTGAGATCCTTTTGTGGAAGATTATTAAAACAGTGATTCTTCAGTGTGACATATAAAATTCAAGTGGACTGAATGTTGGTATATGTGTATATGTGTGTTAGTATATGTTTTTATGCTCTTAGTAAGGATGTTCAAGTGGGGAACATTCAGATTCTAAATGGTTTGTTCATGAATAGTAATCATTCTGGGTTTTGTATTTATTTAAGTTATCCCAGACTCTCTAGGCCTATATTAGAGATATACTAATGTGCTTAATCATGTCTAATTTTACTTTCTAGCATAAGTTCATGTTTAAAGTTCAAATGCTATTAGCAAATTGATTTGTAAAGGGAAGACCTCTAGAAATAGTGCACCTCCCTTCTTCTACTTATCTCTATTTAGACTAAGATAAAAATGCTGTAGCATGGCAGTCCATCTTTCTAGTCTGTGTAGCCTTTTTAATGAGAGCAACTTGTATCTCCCAGAAATTCATTCAGCAACCTCCTGTGTCTTTATAAGTTGCCTCAGTTCCCAAAAATGTCAGTTGGAAACACTGAATTGTTTCCTTCTCTGCATGAACTGCAAACTGCTTATGCACTCATAAAGACTCATAATCTGTTCATTAATTTTTTCATCACTTGCTAGCTGGTCTCCTTTCTCTTATCCTTTCTCTTTCTGTTTTCCCATTTGGAAATTCTTTAAAAGGTTAGATAAAAGATCAGATTAAAAAGTTCCCGGTGAAGTGCCATAGATCTTGAAAAGTGCTTAGGAACTGCTTGAAAGGTTAGGTATTTGATATAAGTAGTTTTGAGTTGCAAGACACTTCTCCTTCAAGAAGTCAAGATAGCAATGCATTAGGTGAAACGAATCAATTTCCCTAAGCTTTTGTGAGTTAAAAAGGTAGTGTGAATTTTTTTGATTCTTTTGTCTTGACTGGAAGCTTTTAGAAGAAAACATAAAGCATTCTATGGTATCACTAATTAATTGCTTAGGCATGAATGAAGGCTGGCTTTATTTTTTTTAAGAGTGGAGAATTCAATTACTGAAATTGGTAAGGAAATGAAGGATTATTTTCTAGGTCTTTTTCAAATTTTGCAATTCCTTTTTGTGATTATAAGCATTAAAATCAGCCAAATGTGTTTTGAGCGACTCTCTGATTTTTGAACATAGCTAGTAAAAGATGAGTTTATATACAAATTCAAAGCAAAGCATGAGGCTAGCCTGAAGATTGACGGTTACCATTTGGGGAGCTGGTGTTCAGGCTTAACTTACTGGCCTGTATCAAGCTTCTAAAGGACCATATATCTAAAAACCGAATCTGTTCCACAATTAGTATGTCTCATTATTAGGTAGCGGGTCTAGTGTTTTAAGTTTGTTTGCCTCATGGCATAGAGGGTAGCAAGAAACAGCCAATGTGACGCATATGCGTCTTTATAGATGTGCTCTTCAAATTAAAGTTTTAAAAGAACTGATGAGACTTGAAGGAACTAATTTAAACCAGGATAAGATCTGTTATCAAAATGCTTAAAGTTGTTTTAGATTTTCAGTTTAGTGGTTAATCTCTCACTTGTATATAGGTAAATAGTTTAAGTTAATCTTCAACATTGCAACACCTTGATTTGAAACTTAGTTTAAAATATTAGTTTTCAGAAACCTAGTTCTGTGACTATTCATGGAAAAATATTCATGTACTTTTTGTTAACAGAATTTTTAGATGCAAAATCACAACTTCAATATCCACACTTTTTCATTACAATTGTATACAAATTATTTACGAGATGAATTGTGCCTCCCATCTTTCATCAGGCTACTGAGGAAATCCGGTCCAACTCCAGTCATAAGTAGAGAAGTTAAATTAAAAGTTTCTCTTTAAGCACTGTTAGTTTTGTGTATTGGTTATTCTCTCTCCTTTCCTAAAGTTTTAGCTTTTTATGTGGATCCACTATGATGAATCTTCTTTGTGCCTTGTTTGTGGCACATCCAGCTACAGAATTTAGTGTACCACACCTTCAGTGCATACGCTGTCTTCCAGGTGATATATTCTTGTTCAATTTTGTTGCCTTCCCATATCTTTCTACCTGTTCTGTGGTGTTGTGCTGATTTTTGAGATGACTGGCATGTAGTCTGAGAGAGAAGTCTAATGGTTGATCTAACTTAAGCTCAGATGCTCTGGGATCTGGAGTGTATAAGTGTTAACGCTGCTTCATTTACCCTGCATTATCAGTCTTTTACCAAATGCACTTTCTGGTCAGATTACAAAACATTTTACTGATGTCACAGAGAATTGAATTCTGACATTGTAGGTTATTTTAGAAAGGTACAGAACTTACGATTGTAAGATTATACAGCGGTAGCCTTACTGATACTGGAACTGAAGCACTCCTGCCTATCTCTTGTGCTCCCTTAAATGATTCCTTGTTAGTGCTTTCTTTTTAAAGGTATATATTTTGCTTTCTTGCAGGTGTATTAGTTCTCGTTTCTTCATCTTACTGAGAGTGTTCCTAGAGCTGTTTTCAGCAGTAGCAACTAGAGTGAAACTCAGGGCATTTGTGATTCTGAAGAAGCATGGCTGATGCTATTTTTCAGACTATTAATACCCTTTGGTTCACTTACGCTTTCAGAGTTCACAACTCTTTCCAGAAAGATGAACTTTGTTTTCCTCCCATCTAAACTAAGCCATGCAACAGGCAGTTACACTTGATCATATTTGGTGGATGTCTCATGTATGTATATGGGAAGGACTGAGATCTCTTTCTCCTTGATCTCTATCTCACTGATGGAGACCAGCTGGAGCAAGGCAGGACAGTCTTCTGCTATCTGGTGTGAAGGTTTCTACAAAGTTTGTGTCAAAGTTTCTTAGAGAATACAGTCTTCCTAAATTAATAAAAAACACCCTAGGACAAATGCTGTCTTGAAAAGAAAGACTTCTCCCACTGTGAAGAAATACTGTTCAGTTTTGAAGTAAATTTGAAGAATTTCAAGAAAAGAGTCACCAAACAGGTTGTTATAGCTTCTCTTGTAAGCATATAAATGTGTTGGGAAACTCTGAAGTAAGCTTTGTTCTTTCTTACCGTGTGGCAGTGCATTGACCCAAGAAGAAGATTGTTATCAGTTCTTTAAAGCTGAAGTATTAAGTAGTTAGATTCTTCAATCTCAGACATCTTTCCTTTTGTTTTGTTATTGGGCTGCAGGGCTGTTTTGGCAGTGGTTCCTATTTTAGTGAAACTTGAAGAAAACTCAGCCTAATGTAGGCATATGGCATGGAAAATGGCTTAAATTCAGCAAACTTCTGAAGCTCTGTACTTAGTTACAATAGGAACTAGAAAGCAAACCTCAATAGGAAGGCTATTAGCTCTGGTTATAAGTGAGACATAACTGCTACATTAAGAGGAGAGCTTGGAAGGGTGAGGGGAATAGTAACATTATAATGATGACTTTCCTTTCCTCTGCTTTCTTCTACCTTAATCTCTGACCTTCAGGCAACAGCTAGTAAGAATCTTGAACTATGAACTACTATTGGTCGACTTTCCTGTAGCTGACTGTCTTACAGATGTTTTCTGCAGGCTCTTATATTATTTAGCCAGAACGGTATTTTTGTGCAATGTTGCTTGGTCAAGCATTTGCTGCTGCAAGTGCTGACCAGGTATGCATTTGTCTATATCCAGTTAACCATCTTCCTGGCAGATTCTCTGAGGAGAATAAGGGAGAGGCCTCTGGAATAGCTCCGTTTGTCATGCAGGAAAGCTGACAGGAACTGAGAGAGGGAATATTAGGTTCCATTTGGTTTAAAGTCAAAACAAACATTCCCAGAGAACTAGAGCTGTCCTGGTGGCTCAAGAATTTACAAAGGAATTTGAGAAAATAGTAATGAAGATGAATCTCTTTTTTTTTTTTTTTTTTTTTTCATGGCAGTAAGTGTTCTCATGCTCAAAGAATAAAAACCAAACACCACCTACACTTTTAGGTCTTGAAAATGTCTTAGTTTTCTCCTCTTCTGATGAGTACTCTTTGAGATACAACTGAATCAGGCCACACAAAGAAGGAAACTGAGGAACTTAAATACAGTAAAGAAGCAGAGATACAGTAAGACTGACTGAATTGATACCTGGAAAGGGTTTAGTGCCTTCCCTTAAGGCTCTGAAGAGACATGAGGGAGATCAGCAAACTTGATCAACAGAATTGCTTTGCTCAGTCCACTGTCTTTGAGTCTGTCACATAGATGTCATTTCTACTGGTAGATATGAAAGAAAAATGGCAGCAGCATAGGGATGCAGGAATAAAACCTGGAAAAGATACTATTATAGGAACAAAAAGGATTACAGAATTAACAAAAATTACTGATTTTTGAAGATGTGTTGTAACTTCAGGAATTGATAAACTTATGTCTGGCACTAGCATAATTTCAAGTATTTCTGGTGATTTCAGGTAGTAAGCTCAACAAATGGAGAACTGAACACAGATGACCCAACTGCAGGCCGTTCAAATGCACCCATCACAGCTCCTGCAGAAGTAGAAGTAATGGATGAAACTAAGTATGTCCATCGTTTTGTGTTCTTTGGATCTTGTGTGCTCAGCTACTTCAAAATTTTTCTTACATAGTTATTAAAAAAATACTGTCTAAACTGAGTAGCCACTGGTGAGGGGCAAAACCATAGTGCTATATTTAATTTTGGCTTTAAATATTTAAATAATAGACTTTCTATAGGTTGTGCTTTTTAGGCTAAGCCCTCAATAACACATCTCTAGTATAGAGAAGTGCATGCATTTTTGATATTTCAACTAATATTGAAATATTTGTTTTAAGACAGTGTTCTGACTACTGAAAATTATATATGAGAGATATAAAATTCTTCCTCTGTGTGGTATTCTGATTCTTTCTTTTCCCTTACTCTCTCTCTGTATAGCTGCCAGAAAGTGTTGAACATGTGGTGAGTTCTACAGCACATGCAGGCAGAAATAGCCCCCGGGTCTTTGTTCTTATTGTTTGGTTTAAAACTAATTTAGAGAACTTTAAAATAACAAGTCCATTTGGAAATCACAAAAGATGTTTTAATATTGTGAAACAATCAACTTTTTATGAACAGCCACCTTCAGGAGCTATTTTGCCTGCTTCAAATCTTGCTTGCTTTTAAGTTGTGTAGTCTGTTGTGTACTTTATTTAATCCTTTTTAGTGGTTAGTAGAATATTTTTTCTTAGTTGCTATCCTTTTTTTACAGTGGAAAACATTCTTTTCAGATATTGTAGTGTTCAGTTAGTATTTTAATACTAGTAGTAAATGCTAGCAAATGTTTGAACTTTGCCCATTACCAGAGTACTAAGTCTTTGACAACCTGCTAACTAATTACTAAAACATAACTTCAGCGTTCCTTAAAGTTACGGTGTAATGAAAGAGGAAAATATTAAGGTCTGTTAACATGGGGTGGACAACTAATGTAGGCATATATTTGAATAGTACAGTCACATTTGCAAAGTACTACAGAAAAATATTCTTGGCAGCTAAAGGCAGTCTTAACTTTTCTTTTATAATTTGCTTGGAATAGAATTTTACAAGGGTATAGATCTAGTTTATCATAACATAGAGGCACTCAAGTATGAAGGGTATATTAGTAGCAGAAAAATCCAGTAAGTGTTCCTTAATAGCAGTAGGTTTTGTAGGGCCCATTTTCCTAACTTTTAGATCAGGAGAAATTTCTCAAAGTACAATTTTTTTCTTGAAGTGATCGTTCTGCAGTTTCTGGTTTTGGTATGTAAGATTTATGTGCAGCTTTTTATGTAGTGAATTGTGAATGGAGGTATCTCTTTTGCTGCACTTGTGCACTAGCTTTCAGTGAGGACTGAGAAAACCAGTTCTTTATATGCTGTCTTTACTGTATTATTATTTTTCTGGAAAGAATTCAGTTTTCTTATATTTAAAACAAACAAAAAAGACCCCAAAGAGCAAGGATGTTGACAGGCTGCACATAGAGAAATTTGCTTTCCCCTCCCTTTGGATAAATGCTTTTAGAAGCTTAGAATGACTATATCTTCATGTCAAAGATTGAAGGGTCCCTATGATCTGTGATTTTTAACTACAAACACAAATACTGTTTAGCCAAATATTAGATCTTCTGTGACCTTTACAGTGGGATGCTGTAAATCAGAAAGGATAAGAATTTTTTTTCAGTAAGCATATTATTCTTTCAGGATATTCATCCAACAGTTCCATTGTTTGACACATGTTTATGCACTCATATGCAGTATATATTCTAAATCTTACGCTTTCACATCCTCATACTCCTCAAGTGTTGCTATGCAGCAAGCATGACTTAGTGGTGGGTGTTTGGTTTAGGGTTTTTTGGTCGTTTGTTTATTTGTTTTGTTTGTTGGGGTTTTTTTTGTTTTGTTGGAGTTTTTTGTTTGCGTTTGCAGTTTTGATGTTGTTTTTTTGGTTTTGTTTTGCGGTTTGGTTGGTTGGTTGTTTTTTTAAAAGTAGCTTTCAGTCCTATTTCAGTTGTTACTTATTGGAGTTGTAAAGCAGAGGGAAAACTAACCTAATCACTGTTCTTCCCTGACACTTGTAGATCTTATCTTCTAGGGATGGTCTTCCAGTTATCCCTGAGCAATCAGCCTTTCTTTCCTTCCTTTGCTGGCCGTCAGAACAGTTACTTCTATGAAGCATGTGTAGTTTGAATAATCAAAAGGATCTGTCATGGGATGACAGAGAAGGGCAAACAGGAAAAGATTACATGATCTGTCCTTTTTGCATCTTGCATTCTTTTTGCCATTTTAAGCACCTGTTTATAAACCTGCAGTAAACTGCTGTCACATGCTAGATGACAAGTATAAAACCACAGCTCTCTAAACACAGATGAGAACCAAAGTTGTTTTAGCATGTTGTGCCAAGGGACTGCTTAAGTGGTAGAGGGAAGGGTATTTAACAGAAAAAAGTAATGATAATATTTTAAGTAGGACAAGAAATGTTCATAACCATAATACTGAGATTGCTACTTCAGAGAATATCTGAAAGGTACCTTTAGATTGTACAGGAAAAATAAGTTGTTTCTCAAGTTTCAAAAATTAGTATTATACTGCCTGCTATAGAAATATTTTATTCCCTGTAGAGAAGGAGGTTAGCAGTCATTAAATGCTTTCTTTGAAAAGAAGAAAGTTCCTTTCATGGAATTAGACATTTTCAAAGCATATCTATTCTTGTGCATTTTGCATACTTATTGAGTAATATGATGAATTTGTAGTTTATTACTCATTAATAATGACCCTATGTGTAGCTTCAAATATGGCTTCAAGCAATGTAATATATATATAAGTGATAATAACACCCTCTAGTGACAATATTCTTAGGAACATATCTGCATTTCTATTATAAATTATTTTCTTCAAGATACCATATACTGTGGAGCTCTAATTTCAGTGTTATGTTTCTTTCATAAAATTTATTAGGCAATCTAATCTGACCTGTCTTATTCCTATGTAAATGTGCATATATTTTAAAATGACATTTATTTGGCCTTGGAAGGTTTGACAGGTCTAGCACTTCTACACTGATAAATATCCATTTTGGTAAGTTTCCAAGCCAGTCCTGTAGTTTACAATGCTTTATGGAATTTGCATACCTTTAACACTCCTTAGGTATGTTACATATTAATAAGGGATTTATTTTCCCACACCAAATAAGTATTCAGCATTTAGTGAAATTCCCTGAACTAAAATACAGTTGAATAGTTCTTATAATTCAAAACAAAACAAAACTGTCAACAGAAGTTATAGTTTTTGTAATAGTATTATGCAAACTCCAGAAGCCAGAGATTAAAAAGTAGTGCTTTATGTTATTAAAGATAGAACTCTTATATTCCCCATTGCATGATGCTCTTCTCTGGTTGAAAGAGAAGTAGCAAACTAAACAGGCTATGGAGAAGGAATAAAGTATGAGATTTGCAGCAAGGAAGGGTTAAAACTTTCTGCGAAGGAAAGCAAGAAAATCTGAAGAGTCCTTGAATTACACAGAGGATCCAGGTAGTCCTAAGCACTTAAGTGTGATCTGCTGTTTCTTGAGAACATGCTCCATATAAGCAAAATGTAGTTAAAAGTTTTTTTAGAATATAAATTAACTCTCTGCCACATTTTTGTCTTCCTACAGTTACTAATGTAACCTGTGTTCTGTATATACTAAAATGTTGAATAGAGACAAGATTTTTCAGTAAATTTTTTTTTTTGAGGCCTTCTAATCTGAAACGGGTACAAAAGTGATTTACCATCACAGTCCAGGGTAGGATTTCCTCGTTTACAGGATCATAGGATAATTCAAGTTGAAAGGGAGGAGCACTGTAAAATGCTTTGTTTTGATATGATGTTTGTTGTATATACATATATAAAATACTTGGAAAAAGATTGGGGTGAAAAAGGATTAAACTAAATTGGATACCATACAGCTGCATACCAGTTCAAACCTTCTTAAGGGATAATGGATGTTAGGGGTTGTAGACATATGCTAAGAAAACAGGGTTAGTGGTTATGGGGGGATTTCAGTTGCAGTTGGCAGCTACTAGCCTTCAAAACCAATTATGTCGCTTTTAGAAGTACTTTAAAGTTAATAGATACAGTATTATGTTTCTGCTACCTGTGAAAGTATTTATGTAAATTTTCCCCTATTGAATTTTAATTTTCGGCTTCCTCTCCAACAATAACCAATGTTTTTTTCTACTGAAAGTTATGTCACTCTCAGAGCAGCTCTGGTCTGCCTCTGCCCACTGCTACTTTTTCAGTGACCGAGCGACAGGGTGCCCTTGGATATTTTGAGAAGGTAACTTCTGGTTCCCCTTACTTTGGATGTTGTTTGCACCCCTGTAGAACCTTATTTTTAGACCCTTAATTCTCCCTGGTTTTCAAACGCTTTCCCCATTTCCCATATTTCAAACTAAATCAGCAGGATTCGTTTTGAATTTTAGTGGCATGAAATGTTTGGTGAACTTAAGGACTTACTGATAGGCTATTGATGCAGTACATTTATATTTGCCCTTCTCTTTTACTTCATAGTTTAAGAAAGTCTTGAGTATATAGCACTGCAAGTGAGACTTCAATAACCAAACTGCAGAATTCCATGGGGCAAGCTCTGTTGAGATAAGACAGCTTGCATGTTCACTTGTGATGGCAAATTGTGAATACTTTACTACATGGAAACTTTATTTTTAAAGGTGGTGTCAGGAGCTGGGAGTTATGTAAAATAAGGTTAACATTACATGCAAATGAGAACTTTTTTTGTTGCTTTCCTCTTTAGTCCATTTTCAAAAATTACTTCTGCAGTCCTCCTCTCTATTATCTATCTTTAACTCCCTCCAATTATTTTTCTTGTTTTTTTCAGTTATGTTCAGATTGTTTCTATTTGCTGAGTGAAATTCACAGTATTTGTTAATTTTAGTTTCCTTCATGTAGTATGCAATAAAGCAGAAGAAAGAATGTCAGTATACTTCAATATACTTAAAGCTGTGATTTTTCACTGTAGTAATATCATGACAGCACTGAATCAGAACATACAATATATTGTTCATGAACATTTTCTTCTATAATATTTTGGGGAATAGCCTTGGGGAATGTTTTTCCAAGTTCTGGTTGACAAACTTGTGTTCTTGTATTAGCAACACTAGTGTCCTAAGTGCACAGTTCAGATGACGCGATCTTAAGCCCAAGCTTCTATTTGGCATAATACCAGTTAATGTGAAAGAGTACTCAGGTAATGGAACATTCTTTGTTCTTAGAAGTACGTTTTTAAGTTGGCCTATAATGCCCGTGCTTTTGATACCCTCACACAATACTCTAAACTCAATGGCTATTTTTATTATAGCTTTTTTAATCTGATACTTTTTTCCAAAAAAAGGGGAAATGTGTCAAAAATGTCTCTACTAAAGTTTTTTTCACTAATAAATCAATCACCTGCAACAGAGCTTAACGTGTTCCTTGTAGTGCTGACTATACCTGAACTATATACTTCAAGTCAAACAAATACAGGAAACAGTTCTGTGATTTCTTTTTATGTCATATGTAATTCATGTCACACCTGCAGGTGCTGCTGTTTTTTCAAGCGGAGGAAAAGGAAAAATATTCAGCGCCACAAATGACTAGAACCAAGCAGAACATGGGAGATTGCTTATTTGTCCAACTGCTGGTTTGTGATCTTAAAAAAACCCCAAAAAGCAAAATCATCTATAATGACCACGTATTTTCCAAGGACTCCCTTAGAAACAATGACATACCTGTGTGCTTTGATTTGGTTCTCCTGTATCCATCTTTTGTTTCTTTAATTAATCTGTTGTGAAAAGTTTAGGTTTTGTCAAATACGAGTGTTTCTTTGGCCATCAACAAATGGACCAATGAAATGGTACAAATGAACAGTACTTTCAGCGAAACTAAACTTGAAAAGCGTTTCTTCTGTCCTAGGAAGTACTAGCAGTGTCCTAGCTGAAGACAGATGTCATAAATCTGTTACTTGAGTTTGTAGCAGCGTATCGAAAACAGCTTTCTTCAGAAATGCAAGGGAAAAATACAGATGCACAACCATAAAGAAAAATACAAAACCTTAAGATTTCTCTTCTGATACCTGCACTGATTTGTTTTTTTTCTTTTGCTCCATTATTACTGGTGATACTGTAGTCAAATTGTATCAACATTAAACCCTGTCTGTGATACCATGGTACAGTCACTGTCTAGAGATACTGAGGAGACTGTTTTAACTGCTGTTGTCTAAATGCTGGCGATACTAATGAACAGAAAGTACTTCCAGTAGCCTCTGGGTTTTAAAACCTGCTTTTATGCCTACAATGGAATTGCAGTACAGTTGAAATGACAAGATGTTTGTACAAAGAATACAGAATTTTGTATAATTTAAGTTGTGCTTCCAATAATACTGGTAAGATTGAAATACCTTCAAAAGAGATCTACAGAGGAATTGTAAAAGAAATAAATGTCAATCTGGTTAAAGTGGAATCAGTATTAAAGCCTATATGTTCACTAAGGCAACTGATGATTGACAACATCTTTAACTTGAAAATATGGATGTGCCATGCAATGTTAGAGATCTGTTTGTAAATTATTTTACTCTTTAATTCAGAAAACACATGCAATGGAAGTGAGTTAGACTTCTCCCTTCTCTGCGTGCTACCCCTAAATTTCCCAAGATTTTTTTTCCTGGCAATTTCATGTCTTTTAGTGTAATGTCACTGCTATAGTAGGATGGCAAGGATGTGCCAGGTACTTCCCCACAGTCCAATGGGGTGTCTGCAATATAAACAAATCAGCAATTTTGTAGACAAGGTGGCCCATTTTATATTTTCTTCAGAAAATATATGCTGCTTTTAAAGCCATAATGACAGAAGTGTGCTTTTGTCACATTCAGCTGCCGGTTATTGAAGAAAGGATGTGAAAGATGGAAGTGATTAGGCAGAATTGTTGACCAAAACTCAAATTATCTCAATTTTTTATAATTCTTCTAGAGCTCATTAGCATTTTTTTCTATCCACACATGCCTTTTGGCATACTTATTTATTTTTAATCTGTTTTGTGGTAGCGTTTAAAATGTGTAAGAAAATAAATGCACATCTTTGAATTCACTATTGCGTTTACAAGGATTTTAATTGTGTTTTGTAATTTATCTTTCCTTAACAGCCAAAAGTGTATTTTATTGTTTGGATTATGTGCTCATATGTATACTTTTGAGCTTTGTCATTTTTACTGTTCATGATCTTAAGGGTTTTTTTTTAAAAAAACCTGAACTCAGACTACAAAAATGTACTTTATAACGCATCCTAAGTTTCTACTGCACCTGTTTGTGTTATTGATTATCTCAAACTCATTAAGTTACTTCTTTGTTTTGATTTGAGCTTAAAAGGTAGGTTACTTGACCATTCTCATATGAAAACACATCCTCCTTTGTATTACTTGACCAAATTTGTTGGTTTGTAAGATTTGTAAGTACATGTGGTATGTGTATTTCTCACACACCTGATTAGTTTTACTCTCAGAGGCTTTTCACCTGTACAGTGTTTCTATGATCTGAACTCCATACACATCACAAGAAAGTGTGTATATTATGGACTTAAAATATTTGAATATATAAAGGCTACTCATTTGCTGAAATGACCAGTAGTTGGGCACTTGCTTTTCAGCAACTTTTTTTTTTTTAAGTGCTTGATTTTAATGTTGACGAGAGTTTTCTTCTAGCAAAGCAAAGTGGCCAGTACTAATGGAGGTATGTCCAGGTTATGCCAATATGCTTTTCATTTATAGCTTTATTTTTACCCGTCTAAACTAATGATTTTTTTGGCTGGATTGGTTGGATGTTTAAAAAATACATCCCTGTTTAAATGTAAGACAAAAAAATAAAGATAATTTTTTAAAACTTGCTTTTTTCCCCCTTTTCCTATAGTCTTGGATGAAATACTGGAAGGAGTTATTTTAAGAACTGCTGAACAGTTTTAGTCTTTTTGGAGAGCAAGGAATTTGAAAGCATGTTACTTGAAATGCTACCTCAACACTGCAGTTATAGTTATGTCCACTTAGTTAACAGGTGTTATTGTTATATGCTTTAATACACCTAGTGATAATAATGGAGTGAAGAGACTTCAATGCACATGTTTGTAACTAGGAAATTTACTCAGGGTCTTCATGGATTAAAGTCTATGCTGTCTGTGCCACTTAGAATAAAAGCAATTACAGATACTGTGACATATGCAATAAGTGTGTCTTTAATTTTGCCAGGTAGGTATCTAGAAAAGGAAGACTTACAGTTACTTCTTCGGTCACAACCTTTTGTTTGATAGAGTTGTTCCATGCCATGGAGCATCTGAAATTATATAAAAAGGGTATATTTACTTGAGAACATTGTTAATGGGCACAATTGGTTGCTAGACTTCTAGTTAAAATTCATAGCACTTTGCTTCATAAGCCCATGCTTTCATTTGCTTGTGCTCTTACAGATCTACAGAACTATTGCAAGTAAAAATCTTTTTCAAGTTAGTGTTTTCTTTTTATTCAAACTAAAATTTTCCTCAGAACTTCTTTTTGAGACTTGGAGTGTTACACCTGAGTGCTTAAAAATACACCCTCGTGTACTTTTCAGTAGCTTTTTGGGAGCTTTCAGTAGCTTTTTTGAAGGATATTTCAAACATGAAGATTGCAGAGTCAGCTATGTCAGAATTAAGCCACTGTACAGCTTCATTGATTGTCTTGTAAAATTAAATAGTATATTTTCTCAGGATATCTTCCTCTTTTAATTTTTCAGGATGAGTGATAGTAACTGAGGTAGTGTAATTTTAAGGCTGTATTCAGTTCTCAGATGCTCAATTTTTATTTTTCTGGTAAAAAGTTGTTCCATATCTTTATTACCACATCTGTTTGAACCTTACTCAAAATACAGCCTTATTATTTGTGGGGCTTCCTGTGTGACACATACTGTAATATGGGATGTTTAAGATACTTCTTTATGTCTTCACACAACTTGCCTCTGAAATACTACCTTATTATTGTTAAAGGCTACTGAATCTAAAAGTACTGTTTAAAAAAAACCAAAACCAACACACCAACTTCATTGACTAGTTTGAGATGCAAGTTATTTTTCAGACTGCACTTACATTTTCTTGTGTACTGAGGAGCACTTGGGTGTTTAGCTAATCATGAGTGTTTAGTTAACCCTTAGGTTTTGAAATGGACAACCAAAACCATGAACGCTAAGAAACTAAGTGATTAGGCGACTGTCATGTTTGTGGCAGAAACCAGCATTTAATTTTTAGAAAGATGTTTTATACACTGTGGATCTCTTATCAGTGCTCTGAGCTTTTCTGTCGCCTGGAACAAGGAATACATGGCCTTCGGTGATAATTAAATACAATTTCATGAAAACTTAAAGCTCTTGATGGACAGAGCGAATGATAAGCAAGGATCCAGTGAGTTGTGGTTGTTGTACTTGACCATTTTTTTACGTTGATCCCTAAACTGTCTTTTGCTTCCTTCTGAAAAAGCTTGAGAATTTAAGAGTTGATTGAGGATTTCTAAATCCTGGACTGTGCTCTAACTACTTTTTATTCCAGGCTTTGGAAAATCACCATAAGTTCATGACACTGAACTGAAAATATGGTGCTGAAAATACAGGTTTATTTCTTTTTATTAGTGAATAGAGGACTGAGCCTTGTAGATCTTTGAAGAGCGTTCAAGAACATTGAATATGAGTGCTGCAATGGATGTCTATACTCTTCAGAATGGATAGGTAAGGAAGGAGAGGCGGTGAGATAGCTAGCCCTTTATGTTAGGGAGTGTTTTGATTGTCTAGAGCTTGATGGTGGTGATGAAAGGGTTGAGTGTTTATGGGTAAGAATCAGGGGGAAAGGCCAACAAGGCGGATATCATGGTAGGAGTCTGTTACACACCACCCAGCCAGGATGAAGAGGCAGATGAA